TGTCCCGAACGGCTGGTCCATCCCTCAAAAGGGACGGCTTCGCCCATCTCCCCGTATCAACCCCCATACAACGCGTCATCCATCATCAGCTCCTCTCACAATTTTATGTAAACCTTGCGTACCACGTGGTCGGCGGCGGCGGGACTGACTGGAGGCGGGAGAGGGCGTCTACGAATTCATCCCCGTTATCGATCCACCCCCGGGGGCGGCTCCAGCGCTCCCCGCGGCCCCTCGGCCACCCCCGAAATCCAATCGGGGGCCGGAGCCCCGACACGACGGTCCTTAATTTTTTCCCTCCACCCCCAGGAGAGAGAAGGATATCTCGAGTGGCGCGCGTTGGCGAACCGGCGGAAGGTGAAGACAAAAAGAAAACACGAAACAACGCGATTTTAATAACAACAATTTTACATTTACCTTGCTTTTTTTATTAAATTTTTAATATAGAATTTGGTTCTTTTAGACAAAACCGAAAAACAGAACTAGTGATCTCGTTTTTTAAGCGGTTTTTTCTTACTTTATTTTTTGGTTTTTAAGCATCAGACAAAAGTCACTATTTCCCCCCTCCGAACCTCAGTTTCTGACTAGTGTCCAAATCGAGGAAGTAAAGGCAAGTGTTTTTTTGTCTGTTAAATTTCACTTTATAAAAAAGGTTTTTTTTTGCACATTTTCCGGGGGCCCGGTGGTATAGAGGAAGCCACCCCCCCCCCCATCTGCACTTGCGTACTTCGGAATTGGGTCGACCCGCGGCCGCATCGATACGCCCTCCTGCATTGGAAGGGCACCACGGGTTCGGGAAAAGGAAAAACCCGTTTGCCACGTGGTGCGTGCCAGAATACCAGGGAAGGCCGTTTTAAAAAATATCCGTTGGCGAATCTGTTCCGATCCTATGGATTTTTTTTTGATCCCGTCCAAAACAAAAGTCGACTGATTTCCGCCCTTTAAACCGATTAAAATGAGATTAAAAATAATAAATTGTTTTCTCAGCCAAGCATAAGGGAAATGCTGATTTTTTCTCAACCTTTCCCACGGGAAATTGGTTAAACTAAATTTTCCCTTAAAAAAAAGTACGTCATCCAGTGCCAGATCGACGCCAGTGCTTTGAAAACCTGTCGAAACTGCCCGGGAATGTGAAAGTTTTTGCCCATTGTTGCGCACATTTTGCTATTTCTCTTTCTCCGAAACATAGAATTAAATTATTTAAAAAAAATGTGCAAAATTAACCCTCTTTGACCTCTTCCCCTTTCCGATCCTCGGTAGAAAGTTTTTGATCGCTACTTCCAGCTATGGGCTGATCCGAATCGACTCCGGAGACGAGGATGGTGTCCAGGAACCTGGCCAACCCAGGTAACGAATGCCAGGTCCATTGCTACTCGCAGATCAACCTGGCTCAGTTCGCCATCATCAACCAGAGCGTTCAGAGTAAGTATTAAAACCAACCCTCAAACAAATTTTGACCGTTCTGGCCCGTCCGGAATCGCTTGTTTCTTCGGCAATCCTCAAACACACGCATACTGATCAGATCCCCCATATTTTTAAAAATTGTATTGCTCAACTCACAGTTATCCTTGGGAGATAACGACGGGACAGAAAACAGTATAAAACGTCGTTAATCTATCAAAATTGTGAAATCCCACAGTGATAAAATAAGAAGAGTAATAATATGTTTAAAAGTCCAGAGCGCAGTTTTTTCTCGTTTTGTCCCGTCCGGTAATGTTCCTCCATCCAGAAGCCGGGGGCGGAAAAAACGGGTATCTAGGTCAGCGGGGTGCATTCTCTCGATTGCATTGGGTTGCACCGCGCGTCGTTGGGTTGCCCCGCCGTCGGTCTTTCCAATCGATTCGACCCACTTTCCAGCTTTCACGGCTTATGCGGGGTTTTTCCCTGGGAAGGGGAGTAAAGCGAGACCCGGCGGACCCAATCGTAGAAACAATTGATTTTTAAAATCTCAAGATTCAATAGTTTACGCATATTCCGCTAACCCAAAATGGCGGCCGTGTCAGTGTTTAATGTTTTTTCCCTTCCATATTGCGTGCCCTTGACAATTTACAAGCACGAAAGCTCATTTCCTGCTAAATTGTATGTCTTAAAGAGAGAAATCGATAAAATATGTTCCGTACGTTATTTAAAAAAAACCTTGCATCACAACGGAAAGTCGACCTTTCAACACGGACTGGTCACGATTTGAATTTTATTATAAATTATTTTATTGTTGGAAAAAAACAATAAACGGTGCATTCGAGCTCATCTTTGCTCATGGTTGTTGAGACCCATGAGGATTTTAACGTTCGGACTTAACCCCGAAAGGACTTCTCAGACGCCCTGTGTTCTGTAAGGCTAAGCCCCGAAGGTGACAAACTAGGTGCTTAGTAACAAAGTGAGTCGCCTGGTTACTTGGTGGCAGGTTACAAGTAGCCACACCAGGATGAAATTACTAGTGCTTTGTGTAAGAAAGTGCCCGAAATGCCTCTCTCTAAATTAACTAGAAAACTATTTCTTTCCGACAATACTAAATTGAAATATGATTTATTAGGGTATAAATCAAGGAATTCGGTGCATGACATCAATCGGCGAAGAATGTTGGAAGGTGAATTCACCTGCTGTATGGACAATTACGTAGTTACGAATTTTGTGGAAATCCTCATTTGGATTCCGTAGAGCAGGTCTTTTAAAAACTGCGGAAATAATAACCTCGTCCATCGTGAAACTATCAGAAATCACTACCCACCAAGTAAAGAAACAGACCCGCTCTTTTACTTGGTGAATCGCTATGTAACTACGTGCTGGTGTGGTCGTTCTCGTATTTTCTACACTGTTCGTTTTCTTGAGTGACACAGGCCTTGTCACTAGTTACATAGCTTGCACCTCCGGTGTGGCCTTAGCCTAAGAGCATACCAGGAAGATTTTACTCGCATGGGCTTGTCACATTCCTTGCCTAGCGAGGTGGTGCAACGCTAGCCAAGTTCAGAAGTGCTCATCCATACATGTGCCTTGAAAAAAGGGCAATGTTGTGTGTGTGTGATTTACTAACAGACAAAATCTGCTTTCAGTACCATCGGAGAGATAGAGAACGCATCTCCGTCTTCGGCAAGCCCGGGTATCCTCCAGCTAAGGTACAAGTTGATCGCGAACCTCAATTTGGGGCTACTTGGAGTGTAATTTTTAGTGTGGGACAGAAGGCCCACCATTAAAATCGGGGCAGTATCCTCCACCCTTAGTTAAAATATCCTCCCCACAAATTTTAAGCCAGTTTCGTTAAATTGTTAGGTTTTAAACAACGATAAACGTTGTCGGAAAAGGGTTTCATTTCCACCGTGGGTTCGCCTGTCCTCGCGCTTCGAGTCTGACCCATCCTCAGCCCTGACGGCATTCGAACGGTCTTTCTCCAATTATTTTATGTGGAAGTTGAGAAAGGCAGCCGGTTCGTTCGGTTGGGGGGGGGGGCTTGAATGGCAAGGATGTCGATCCGAACGTCCTTCCCCTCGTAACCCACTTTCGCCCTCGGTCGGACTTTTTCTTTTTTTAAACCTCCCCCCCCCCGGGTTACGCAACAACCCGAGAAGGGTTTTCTGCTTGGATTTAAAAAAAATGAGGGGGAAGAAAAATGGGGTTTTATGATAAACACAACAAAAAAAACAGAAGGAGGTTACATTACATCTATGGTTACAACGTCAAACGCAGGTTGTTTTATCTATTTACCTATTCATTTAAATGTTTAATAAAAATATATATAATCGTGATTTATTATTTTTAATAATTTTTTTGAAAGGTATAAAATTTTGTTTTCAAAATATCAATGATTTTTTTTAATTTTTTTTTTCTTCGATCTGGCGATCAAGACGACCGTGGCTGGCTTCGCTCCTGGCATGGGACACGACTCGTGAGCAGTACCGCCGCGATTCTTCTGCGTATTACAAACTCTTTCACGTTTTTTTCCTCTCGAAAGGAAAAAAAAACAACAAAACAATCATTCTAATCATATTGCCGGGGGTTTTAAAAAATATTTTTCTCTTTTTGTGTGTGTGTTTGTGTGTCTGTCTTTTTTTGGGTTCGCGCTATGGATCCGTCGTGGAAAAGGGCGAAAAGCCTCATGGGGACCGCCTGCCAGCCCAGTTCCAACTACGAACTCACTTGAAGCCGATTTTATTCGATTTTTTTTACTGTTACATACACACAAACAAATTTTTTTTCTTCTTTTGAAAAAAAAAATTCCCTCTTCAAGAGATTTTCTTTGCCAGGAGTAGGTAAATATATAGAATATTTATTTTAATCATTTTTACATTATGTCGTTATTATGTGTTCAAAGCGGCCATCTTGTTTTTTCTCTTTTTACACATTTATTTAAAAAAGGAAAAAGCCTTAATTTTTTTAATGATGTTATTTGTACTTGGTTTTGTATTATGACCAAACCGAATAACAAAATTTATAAAAAGTAAACATTTTTAAGGTGGATTTATCAAACCAGAAGTATTTGTGGTTGTAAATCAAAATGGCCACGATCCTTCGCCCCTCTTCTCTAAAAATGAATTTTATTTATTTAAGTGTTTATTTATTTTTTTAAAGAATACTTTATTGATTTTATACATACATATATATAAAAAAGTAAGTTAGTTGATTGATATTTCTGTGTGGAAAAACTCATCAGCTGTTCTCCAGGACCCTGCTATTCGGGTTATCCGCCATCGCGTATGTAACCATAACTACCCGGTGTTTTCGTCTGAAACCGGATCGCTGGTTTTTCGTTTTCCTTTTTTAATTTTAAGGACTCGAGATTTTTCGCGGGTTGTAGGTGCCCTCCCCCCGAGCGTTTCCGTAACCTAAAGGTGGAAAGAGTGTGAATTATGCCATTTGAACCGCCCGGTTTCCGGAAATGCTTGATCTGCGAGTGTACTTCTGCCCGAAGCACGGGAGGCGCGCCTTCGTCAAGGAGGAGGGCCCGAAGAGGCGGCCGCCGTCCGCCGATCACAGCCGCACCACTGATCAGTCCGTCAATTTTGTTCCAGGGACAGAAGGAGGAGGGGCCGGGTCTTATCAAGCGTCCCAAATAAGGATCTGCCCGCAGGGAGCTCAGCAGCAGGACCCGAAACAGCAACCGCAGCAGACGTTGCAAACAGGTAGATTGTGCTCATTTTCTCATTACGACGTCCAAACCTGTTTAACCTATCAATTCTATCCTATTCACCCCCCCCCCCAAAAAAAAATACCTTTTTTTTTGTAAAATTTTCTTAGATTTGATTAAATTTAAAAACAATCTGGGTAAAAATAAAAAGCTCCCCCCCCAAAAAAAAAAAAAAAAAATCTACTATCTTCTATAACTCCCGTCCAAGCGAAAGTTATTTTCCTGCCAAATGAATAAAAAAATAATAAAGTGAAATGATAATGCTGAACAAAACGCAATAAAAAATCTATAAATCTTACATCAGAGAAAATGGCTATTTTCTGGGAATGCATTTCTAGCCTTTTTATTTTCCTGGTGCAGTGTTCAATCGCTATGATTTCAGACTGGAAAACTATCATATTTACCTAGGTTTACCGTCAGTTCGGTCTTTGGGTTGATCAAGGATTAGTGCGGTTACTGCGTCTGGACAGGTTTTCTGTCAACCCTCTTGTTATGCTCTTTTTCGAGAGATAACACGAACTGGAGCGTCTCAAAACGGTGTTGTCCTGTACCTTTGCACATAGGTCTTGAGGGTGATCAAATAAAATTCGATCATCTGGACAAATCCCGATCCCCTCAAGTCCAGATAAACGGTTGGTTAGAGATGGTTAGGGAGTGGATATAATGGATGAATATACATTCTCCATTAGCCACTATCTCGGACGAGTTAATCCTTCCTCATTCAGGTGAGCACTACAGATCTCTTGAGGAGCGACCATGTCGTCTCCACTTGAAATGGTTACAGGATCGCGGAACACTACAGCCTCACAGTTATATCTGTTGATGGCGATCCGGGTTGATGAGATGTCAATTTTATGATGACCCACAATTCGACGAACGTTTCCCCTCAAAGAATAACTTTTGTCTTTTTTTTGCGTATTATTGGGTATATTCGCCTGTCGCGTTTCTACAACACCTGCCAGGTTTTTGGGATAGCTCCTTTGTCCCCCTGATGATGATCAGCTTAAGGTATATCCAAATAATTTATTTAGCTTTTGAAGTAAAAAATCTCAAAATGTGTAAGACAGGCCAACCTAGCGAGGGTAAGAAGACCAAAATATCAAATATAGGTTTTTTGTTTATCTCATTTTACTTTCAAAGATTAATTGATAGAAATTCAAAAATGACTAATACTTGATAATTCTCCCTTTCTAAATTTTTAAATAGCCTTTCTCCATTGTCCATCCTTGTGGTGGAAGATAAAATTTTTATTGAAGCGTCCTCTCAGGTATAAAAGCAAAAGTCTTATTATCTAAATCTAAGCAGGGGGTAGATTTTGTTCAAGAACCAGGGGGTATGGGATCTCATTCCATTGGCGGAAATTAGTCTGTAGACATGGAGAATTGGTCGAAACCACACGGGACAAAACGTGAGAAAAGTAAGTTTGTCATTTTAAGTCATTATTAATTTTTTTTTCTTCTTCCGAATGCGGTGTGGAGCTCTCTTTCCCAAACTAGAAATTTATCCTGGTAATGTGTTATAATCCTGTTTTAACAACTTTTCCCTGAACCCTTAAAAAAAGAAAAAAAATTGGCATTATTTATTAACTCATTTTTTAAACTATTTTATATAAAATGTATAGCTTTCCTAGGTCCAGGCCCTATGCAGCACTTATATGCACAATCGAGACAAAATCATGTGGGCGTAAGTCTTTTGAAATATACAATTTATCAAATCACTCGTACAGAGGGGAAGTATTAATTTAGTCAAATTTCACTTTGCAGCAGTTCTACTCGCTCAGGGGGTCGTCGCACCCTCAGCGGATGCCACCGCAACCCAGGCCGAGCACCATGCCGATAACAACCGGCATGACATACCCTGTAAGATTTTTTTTTCTTCTCTTAAATAAAAGCAGTTTGATTATATAATTATAAAATTAATTTTAGGTACCTAACCCAGGCATGATACCGGCATATCTGCCAGGCAACGTGCAACAGATGATGGTCCCACATGGCATGGGGTTCCCCGTGAGTACAAAATAATGATAAGGAATTAATTCTGCGCCTGATTTGTGACTGGATTTCTTTTTTGAATTATTTTCAGATGGCACAACAGCCAACAAGGCACCAGAGCCATGGTACAGCGATGCCCAATGCAGGGCCAACTTCAAACTACATGCAGCAGAGTTGTAGCTACTTCGTGCAGACCCCACAAGCGCTAACCTTCAACCATTACCCTTCAGCTGCTGCTACATGTACGTTTAACGAGTTTTTTCTTTTTCTTTTTTAAAGAGTAAAATTTTAATTTTTTTCCGAAGTATTTTCAATGCCGCTGAGGAACCAACAGGCGACGCCGAACTCTGCCCAGTACACGCAGCAGCAGCAGCCAACCCAAGTGCCGCCACAGATCATCGGCAACCCCCAGGGCCAGGGGATGGTGGCCGTCGGCATGCAGTCAGCGCAAGTTTCGGCCATGTCGATGGCCCAGCACCCGCCGTTTATATCTGCAAAAAAAGAGCGCAAACGTGAAAGAGCTATTGCCATACTCCATCCCATCACCGGAGAGGATGTCTTACAGGATTTATGGGAGAACAACTCGAGCGAGACGTCTTCAACTAGCCATACCCCTCAGCCTCAGGTAATTTAGCAAATTTATGATAAATTAAAACTTGTAATATAACACATTTTTTTAATGAAAATTAAATTAATTATACTCCTAAAGAGAGCATGCTTTTTATATTTTTTTCTTTTGTATACATTTTCATGCTAATACAAATCCTTGTACTGGTAGCTAACTTAAATTTATTGTTATTAATATGAAGTTTACAAATGATATAATTGGTGTGAAAAATCGTTTGCTATCCCTCTTTCCAATAAAAAGGCAAAAGGTCAAAAATAAATTTTGGATTTTCTTGTTTTGGCAAATTTTAGTCAGTCCATGATGAGGCAATGGAAGCAGCGGCAGCAGTGGTGGCTGATTTTGCGAGTCGAGTGTCAAAGGCTGCGATGGCCGACACACCAGAAAACACTCCAGTCCAGGAGGAGATAGCGACAAACGGCCCGAGCAGCCGGTCGTTGACACCGCCAACGGCAGTCGAACCACCGGCCATAGAGCTGCCTGTCCAGCCCGCTGTGAAGCTCACCCCCGAACCAGCGATACCAACCGTTTCCGCTAAGACCAATTCGCCAACCGTCGAGCTGCACAGGCCGCAACCGCCTGTCACCAAGCCCGCCGTTGCACCCGTCTCCGTGACCCACTTTGTACCTCACAACCCTCCTCCCCCGTCGCATGGCATTCCGATGGCACTCCCGCCTCAGCCGGCACAGCCTGCAGCCCCTGTCCCTCAACAAACACAGGCTCGGCCACAGTCGCCGGTGATTCAGGCGCAACCACCGCTTCAGCCGGTGCACCCTCAACCAAGCCAACATCAGACAACAAACACTACAACTAAGGAAACCCATACTAGCAGTACCTCACCAACAGGAATGCAAACTCCTCAGGTACTCTTAACTGTCAGAATTTACTTCTATGAGCAGATTGAAAAAGTTGACTTTTTTCTCATTTATTTTATTAAATATACACCACAGTTTATATATTAAATAAATTAGATAAAACTATAGCAATATTAAGTTAGTTAAGTTCAGGTTAAAAATACAGAGCAATGTTAAGTTTCAATTATTTTAAGGATGAAAAATAATTGAATTTTCTTATAAAGAAGAAAAGTTTAGTTAAGATTTATGAAATTAGCCTCATCGGACGATGTTAAATATTAATTTTTGTCATTTCAGTCACAGCAACATGTGCTACCTCCGACCGAAGGGCCTAAGCCCAAGTCGAAGAAGGAGGAAAGGGCGATGAGGAGGGTGGAGACATCGCGGCAACAAGGAGCCACTTCAGCCCCGCCGGCCGGAGCACAAGCTCAGCAACAACCTCCTCCTTCATCCTCACCCCTCCCAGCCGCTGCAAAGCGCGACCCTTCGCCGCCGAAGGTAAAAGCCGCTCCCGAGCCAGCGGCAGCCCCCACTCGGTCGACGCCGACCCCGCCTCCTCAGCAGACAGCGCAGGTGGCACCTCTCGATGACAAAGAGACGAATGGTGATTCAGATGACGGTGAGTCAACCTTTACTTTCATTCTCCCAATAAATTTAACCAACAAATATATAAATTTAGTTTTTTTTCTCTCTACATATTTAACATGTCCATATTTTGTCATAATTTTTTCAATATGAATTCAAGTTGATATCTTTCACCACTTAAAAATAATTAGATAGCTTACTGATGGTCAGTGTATGCTGCATATTTTTTTAAAAATGTTGGTATTATCCTGTATAAAATTTTATGCTTGGCTTAAAAATAATGCGGTTTTTTACTTGGAAAAAAAAATGAACAGTAAAAAAAATTGAAAGGAAAACACCAGAAAAATAAAAATCATATGATTTTCAAGATAATATAATATAACAGAAAATAACAAAATTGAAAAAAAAATTGAACATATTTTTTTGTTATGTGAGCTTTCCAAAACAGTTTTAAAAATTAGTTTAAGCCCGGTGTAGCCGTTTTTTTGTAGTGTTAGCTCCTTCCGGCCCATCGGCCTGAAAATCCCGTCGTAATAAGTAGGAGAGAGAGAGAAAAAAAAAGGAGAAAAAGAACAAGATAATAAGGAAAAAAATTAAAAATATAAAAACAGACACGTTGAACAAGACAGCGATGACTGATAGAAATGGAAATGATGTCAGAATGACCCTTGTCATTCGGATTCTAACACAAGGATACCATTGAAAATGTAAATTTTCTCATACCGCCGGCCAAATTGGTAAGTTGGCGCCGCTTATTTTTTAAAACTAGACCGGAAGAGTTGGTTAAAAAAAATCGCTCTCCTTATCTGATAGATGTAGTTACCCCCTGATAAGTTCAGCTATCTATTATTCCAATAAGCACAATGAAGGTAGAGTGATCTGCCCCTAATAATATAAATTAAAACTATCAATCAAAATATAACTCCATCCACTCCATACCCAAGGAATTTACTAACTATATTCCTAAGATACATTTCGCTTTATTATATGAGGTGTATATAGTCACGTTACCATCCCAAATTGAAGTTTTATGAACCCTGGTGGTTTTGAAAAAAATTGGTATAATTATAAGCCAATCCAGAACCTTTATCTTATAAGGACGAGTCGCCAAAATGACTTTTGTCCAAAAACACCAACACCTGTGAGAGTTCATACAATCTTGATTTGGGATGATTATGTAAAATAAGCGTCTTTTTGGTCTCTCCTAGACATTTCACGCTCGTGCACACACACACACACAAACTTAGGAACCAAACATAAAACAGAAGGGGAACCAAAAAGGCAGTTTAAAAAAAAGGATTGTGATCATCTACCTGGATTCTCTTTCGTCCCGTGACTTGTAAAAAAAAATGTTCAGAAATACATTTCATACAAAATTACCGGGGTAAAAATTAAAATGCCTGCCTGTTAAACCTAATTTGGCCATTTGGTCTGCATCATAATTAAATTTTATTTCTCACTTTGCCTTTATGGTGACCTAATTAAGTCAACCTTTAGTTTGTTGCCATGAGTTAAAAAAATTTCCTTAAAAAATTCATAATTGATCACTTGATCGACATACTCTACCCATCATAAACCCCATATTCTCCTCATGAATAATTAAAAATTCAGCCAGATTGTGTTGTCTGTATTTTTCTTAATAAATTGTTAAACCATTTTGGTAAAGAAATATACGCTGCTGACACCATCCTTTGACTGTCTTCCATCAGTTGGTAACGAGAAGGTGGAAGCGTGTACTAATGTCCCAACCCAACAAGCCATGTCATAACAAATATGATCAAACCATACATGTTTAGGGGTCATAATAGATCAAATTATTTCAATTTACTAATCTTTTTATCTCAGTTCTTGTTTGAAATAAAAAAAGTTTCTGTGGCGAGCCTGATTAGAGCAGAGGCATATTGAGCCGAAAGTTGTGGGATCGAATCCTGCTCGTGACACTAACTTTTTCATCTCAACCGAGTTCTATCTAAATAAAGAATAATCAATTGAAATATGGGGGGGGGATTGCTGTACTAGCTCCATCCCGAAGGTCCACCTGCCCTGATCTGTATTCATCTTCACAAAATGAGCATGCTGCGATCCTCTTTTAATCCAGCCTCCGTAGAGACTTTAACGGTGGCTACCACTAAACCGCAAGAGATCGCAAGAACGGGAGAGGATATAAGCGACACATGTTCACCCATCCACTACCCCCGAACGTATTCGACGGGCTTTGTTGACATCCTCGCACGCTTTATGCTTCTTTTGTCTGATCTTTGATATTTTTGAGGGTGCTTATGCAAATCAATCATACGCACGGACAAGTAGATGGCCCACTGCGTGGTCATTGTCACTTCTTTTAATGTTAACTTTTTACATTCACTATTTTTTGTGGTCTGCTCGACCAAAATAACATTCAATTAATTAAGGTTTTAAGTTGAGATAAAAAAGTCAGTGTCACAAGTGGGATTCAAACCCACGACCTTCGGCTTGATACGCCACTACTCTACCACATGAGCTATCGTGACTTCGATCCCCTCGGGCACTAACTTCCCATCTCAACCCCCAACTTCGAATCTTAAAACTTTACAGATTAACAACTTAAAACCTTAATTAATTGAATGTTAATTTTTTATTTTATCCTTTTACAACCTATCAATAAATATTTCTTGATACCTATTGTTTTTAAAAACCAGGTTTTTTTTTTTTAAATTAGGCGTTAATGGTAGTTTCAATGTACGGTCTATGAGCCGAATGAATCCAGCCTTTTTGGGGGTGTCATGGTGTGTCTCTAGTTGTCGGTTTTCTATAAGTCTTATTTCAATTAGGTTATTTATTATGGAAAGTTTTAAGTCTAAAAAGTTTAAACACCCATATTTATTTGTTTCCAATGTAAAACTTATACTAGGATGTAAAGAATTAATTTAATTAGTATTTTCTGATATGACCAAACAACTGAACACAATTCTAAATTGGGATGGGACCATAGCCATCTTTGTTTCTCCATCCTTAAAATTTGATTTGCCTTATTAATTATTGATGTGCGATACAAATAAGGAATGTTTTTTAAAAGTACGACATACCCGCCTTGATTTGTATCACATATTAAGGAGAAAGTCTCTTCTGTGAAGATGTTTGGTCATGTTTCCTTGCGCAGAACATGATCCCCTTTCCCAAAAATATCAGCTTTTTAACTCTGTTGCTAGATCTGTTGCCTGCTTGGTTCACTAATTTGAGCATATGAGAGATTTGAGAGTGTAGAAAAATTAAGATTTTACCAAGCTTTACCAACGATCACTCAATTTTGTGGCTTTACGAACGATCACTCTCAATTTAGTGCCATTATTAGAAACTAATGTAGACCTGCTGGAGATTTCCTCATTAAAATTGCATTTCAAGTACTGCCTCAAATCTACCGACATTTTGACTTCCGAGAATATTAGCAATTGAAAATAATCAATAGGAGAACTTCATGGATCAAAACCTGGATCAGTCTTGCCGCAAAGCATACATGTGAATTCAATCCGGACTTTTCAGACTCTTCCATCCCTCACCATAGGGAAGAGGCTGCGATCGTGCCATGTTGTCGTCCAGGTTCTTGTTTTATAAGAAACTATAAACATTCAATCAGGTTTGTTTTCTGAGAATAAATTGCCCAGTAGTTGGTCCCTTAGTGAATCAAGATAGCTGTTCAAATCGAGAAGGGAACTTTTATATCTTAACTACATCCCATATAGATGGACCGAGAAATTACTTGGTGCACTTTCTAACCTAAATGCAAGAGTGGACGTATTCCATTATTTAGCAATATGGCCTGTTTTTGTCGAGTTCCATATGCATTACCTGGGTAGTTTCAAGCTTAGTACCCAGCTCGTTTCTCTTCTCGACTCCTATTACCTCTAAATTTGCGCTGCATGGCATTATAGATAATTTCTAGTACAGCAATTAAATTTTTAAACATTCTCCTCGTTCTGAACAATGGTTTGCATTTTATTTGTTACCTTTTTGTCTTGCTTTTTTCTCTCTCTTTATTTACACAATGTTTTTTTCCGTATCTTTCTCTCTTGCTTTCTATATCTTTTATACTTGAAAATTCTCAAATGGAGGGGGTGAGAGAGAGGAAAAGAATATATTATATTATTATTAGGTCAACCTCTGGCTGACGGAATGGAATAATTCCAAGCTGTAAATACTTGTCTTTTTTGTACCTATATTTAGGAAATAAAGTATTATTGTTATTAATTTTTAAGGGCGTTTTAATGGCTAAGGTCATTTCATGCCCTAACATTTAACCTTCTATCTTAGGTTAGCTGTATCCCTTCTGAGTGCTATAAAGCTCCTGACTCCAAGCATTCACTCATAAACTAATATATTCTATTGCTATCCAAAACTTTAATTTATCCTTTTAAAATACTTAAAGTGGAAGCCCAAATGTATGCAAAAACTCATTTTAAATTATAAAATTTATTCCTGTTCTTTAATTAGAATTTTGAAATGTTTCTTCCCATAATTTAAACATTTCCCATAGGCTTGTATGGCTGATAATAATAACAATAATAATAATAATGGAGTCAGACTAGCAACAGTCTTAGCATGAGTATAGGATCTTGTTCGTGGCCTATTATTCTTCCATTCAAATATGGTAAATAAACTAATGCTACTCATCAATAATAAAAAACACAATAACACTTCTTTTTCTTTATGCTTTATTTATTGTTTTTTATATATATTTTATTATATTTCATTTTTCCATTCCGGCATCCACAAAAATTCTTGAAAAAATAAAGAAATCTTGCACGCAGTACTCTCATTCAAGCACTACCAGACAAACATTCAATGGTATAACAATTTGGGAAAAGGCCTAAATCTCATTATAAATTCCAATCAATTTGAGAAAGCTGAAAAGTGCTCTGCGAAACAAACACTGGAGGCCCGGTAACTCGTTTAAATCATTCGAAATGTTGAGCCTTTGCCTAAAGAAGAGGGGTTGGTTGCAAAGTGTGACAGTCGACTGTTTTATGTTTTACAGTCACCTATTAAAAGCCTATTATG